ACTCCTCACTTGCATATTGGACAGCTCCCCTTCTGTCACCTGTTCTGGCACTCTGAAGCAGTCCATGAAATTAACACAAGTGTTTCCCATATAATGAGCTTTTCTTCTTCTTCTATTTAATGTTTCATCCAGTTTGCTTCCCCCATCCCCCCACCCCCACCTCTCTGTGCTACCTCTAGCGTCATAGCCTCCTGTCCTGTACCTTAACACAGCACGAATGCAGCGTACACAATCAGGATTACGTCTGAGCCTGAGCAAACAGTTGCATCTCTTAACATTAGCCTCCTTTATTACTTCCTGTTTTAAAATACGTGTACAGTAAGTGCATCCTCTCTCAGTCCTGCAGCAGATCATCATTCAGATATGCATTAATTTACTGAAATGTGGTTTTCCCTCTGGTTTCATGAGCAGGAATCTACAAACCAACACTGGGCCACCGGCTCCAAGTGTATCAGATGTGTTAGTTTCAGATGCTGCCACTGCTACCAGCATTCACATTAAAGTCAATCATCTCAGTTCCAACGCGGCGACAGCTCACATGCTCTCAAAGTCGAGCTATCACATCTTACAGTACGGCGATAACACACACGCAACTGCTGCCCAGTGACAGCCGCACACACCATTATACAACACTTCTAAGAGGCTTTCTGGCCTACAGTTTGTTTTATTGCTAACCTGTGTGGCAGCTTCTAAAGCAGCCCTATAGGTGACTCCTGAGCAGACTGCCCACATATGGAGTCTGAATTTGTTCAAATAAATATACATTTTGGACTGAAAATGAATAAAATTCCAAATAAAACAGGAATTGCACACCACCGTCAACTTTAAAACTCAATTTGAGATATGTCCCGTCACTAGTATCTCATGGTGGAGCTTGTAATGTAGTTCAGTTTGAACCCCTGCTTGATCAGCTGTGTTTACATGTGTAAATGAACCTAACGGATTAGGTTGGACGAGTTTGCACTTCATTTTACAGAATATGTGATAGTTTATACTCCACTATTTTCTCTTTCTCCTTGTGGCTGTTTTTTCCCAGTGTCCCACAAGCCCCAAAGAGGGCTCTTATCTCAGGAGAGGCCGTGTGGCTGGATTGCTGAGTCACCTTTTGCGGGAGGCTGCCCTTATCTCCTAAGAAACACAGCATTCAGTTGGTTGCAAAAGGAGGAACTTTGGGCAGGAGCAATGCGGCCTGCTGTGTCTTCATGGCCATAATATGGATTGCAGCAATGCTCACTGACTTCCTCATAGCCTCACAGTGCTGCTTTTTTTCTTCTGTAAGGTCCGTTTTAACGCATGACATGCAAAGGTGTGAACACGCTGCAGGATGGGTTAACTCCAGAAGTCGCGCAAAGGGAAGGCTGGGACGGAAAATGTGACTCAGCGCTACTGGCGACCTCGAAGATGTCGGTTCATGGCTGTGATCGCCTGCGATAAGAGATGCTGTCCCGTTCAGTGACAAAGCAGCTTCACTTCAGCCGAAATTTTAGAGAAGTACCAACAGAAGTGGGATCAATATTCAGATCTTCCCTCTAATGCCTGACTTGTTCAATTCTTACTGGTCGTTTGGAAATGCTCTCAAACTTCAAGGTTTTATAAGGTTATTATAACTCTGTAGCATCGAAAATGACACATGCGACATGCATGGAGTGTGACTCAAACTGCACAGAACCCTTTGCTCTCTCAGGTTAATCCACAATCTGAAGCAAGCCATGTTGTTGTAATTAATATCATTATCTAGCAAGCCTCAAAACATCATCAGGCAATGTAGCCGGCTGACTAACATACAATAGGCTGCGGACGGTTCTTATTTCATGGATCTTTAAGCAGTATTCACTGTTTCACATTTGGAAGCATGAGCAGCATGTAACCCTTAATTGGTTTCAACACCTTAATAAGTCAAAGACGTTCAAGACCGATAATCACATTAAATAGTCCAATTTATCTAAAAAGTCAATTGCAAAGTGAAAAACTCTCTTTCTTTAGGAATGCATTATGCTGCGAGGATGTCAGAGTAAATTAAATTCCCCTCTGCACACTAAAGCATCAATTTCCTTATGGTAATTATCTGCTGGAATAGACGTGTCACTAGAAGGAGTCAGGCATGCTTGACATTTAGCCTTTTTATGGAGCGGCGATGAGTAAAAATTAAGATGAGGAAAAGGAAATTAATCTGCAGCCCGGGCAAGCATTGAGAGATCCTGGAGGATAGTGGCTGAATCAATCATGGTGTTTGTGAGCCTGTTTTGAAAAGGAGCCGGTGATGAGATTCAGACCACAGGCTGGAAAATCTAAGCTGGAGGAGGAGGAGGAGGTTTTTAGCAAATAGAGTTATGATTGCTATGAGAAGTCTTACGTAGTCCTGTTGGTCTTAAACACAAAGTAAATTGGGTGCTATACAGAGAGGCCGTCTCACTCTCAAGATTATTACCACTGTCATGTTGTACGCTGAATATGTATTGTACCACCAGGTGAAATAAATACTGGAAACATGGCTGCAGACAGCCACATTATTAGGGGTTAAATAGTGAGCTTTAAAAGGTGCCGTTGTCCTCTGCAATTTCATGCATTTGTACGCTAAGCTAAGCAGTTAAGAGAGTCCTGCTATCTAACTGTGCAAGAAAGCCAAGGAGTTAATTGCCTAACATGTTCCTCAACTTTCTAGTGTCTTTCAAAAGTCATAAAATTAATGCAAAACAACAGTAATTACAACTGAAAAGGCTCGCTTTAACAAAACTAACAGCTGTTTTTTAGCATACGTTGTTTAGCATAATAATCTGTGGCTGTTAGACATCAATCACCAACAGAGCCGTGAGCTGATATCGTGCCAAAAGGAAGGGTGCTGCCTCTAGATTCACTGGAGTCGCAGCAGCATAAAGGAAAAGGGATAAATCTTAACCTTTCCATGCACATAATTCACTTTACTTACCAATTTTCTCAGCGATGCATTAACTGGTAACATCTTTTAAAAAGAGAGAGAGAGAGAGATTGCACTTACTGCACTTAATAATGCTCTGTTACTTTGACAACTATGGTGGAAGTTGTGCAGTTCTTCGTATGTGATGGGTTTGATGGAGAGCTGATATCATATTTCTCGCTGTGTAAAGACTGCTTTGGACAAATATCAGCATGAAACAGGACCGATGGAGTTCAAAGGCAGTTTAGGGTCATTAAACAAGACACAATGGATGATATTTGCAGACTTGCCTACATTTCTTTTCAGTCTATATTTGGGAGTCAAATGTGTCTGTCCAGAGGTCAGGGGCCTACGTGTGAAGGTAACGTTTTTTTCATGCTTTCGCTCTGGCCAGCGAGCTGCTGGTGTTCTGTGGTGAGGTTAGCAGCATTAAAGCAATAAGTAACTTTTGCCTCCAAAGTCTTCATGTCAAAAATTAGGACTTTCTAGGCTTCTCAGTTTAAAAACGTTTTTTTTTTGTTGATTATTTTAAATTTAAATCTCTTTTGAGTGCCCTCACTTTTGGAAGTGCAACAATAAATAGCTAAATAAAACACAAATGACACTAAATATACAATAATTAAAAAGAAAAGATGCATGTATTAGTGATCACACAACCCAAAGTCCTCACATGTATCAACTTTGTGCTTAAGTACAAAATCCTCATGAAATGTAAATCTAAACAAAGTATAGATGAAGAGAAACAGGAAAACCATCTCATCCCTATTTCCTGTCTAAGCGTCAAGCTGCACTAACCGCAGACATAAAGCTATTGCTGCCAGGCACATCATAATAATGTCAATGTGCGTTACAGTCGCATCTACAGAAATCTAAGCGATGTATATACTGAAGCCCACAGACAGCATTTTGAATGCAGATTAGCCTGTTTAGTCATAATGGATCTGTAAAGCTGCCGTAATTTGTATACTGTTAAAAACGTAATGATAGCGCTAAAAATCCTGACTTCCCTCAATATTTCACCCCTCTCTTTGCCCTTCATGACAGACGCACACACACACATAGAGTAAACGAGCAAGCAAGCGAGTCAGTGAGAGAGAGCAAATATTTAAGAGGACAATGCAACGCACTCACTACCCAGAGTTAGAAAACCACTCATCTAAATCAGGGAAATTATGATAATGGGGCATCTCATTATTCTTTAACTCACTCTGAATAACTCACTGACATCACATCATCGTAGATGTATTCATATAAACAGATTGGATGGCGTGAATAGGAAGCTGACACCTTCGAGCCCTCTCTCATCTCGTTTGTCTAAAAAGGAGATGAGACCCGTGCTTCCTGTCTGGAAGCACGGGTCTCATCTCGTTTGTCTAAAGTCTTGCTGTGGCGCTCGTGCACCAGACAGGAAGCAAGGGTCTCATGAAGGGGTTGCAGGGAGCCACGGCGGTCACCGTTCTGGACAGGGGCGCTGTGTGCCTGAAAACAGAAGTTCCAAATTCTTCGAATGCTCTGTGAAAAGATGTAATGATATCTGTGAGTCACTGAATTACACGTTGTTTTAGATGACGCAAAAATCTAAGAACCTAAAGCTAATCTTTGTAGTGAAACACAGACTGACAGAAAAAAAAAAACCCTCAGGCACTTCTGTTATGAGTGAGCGTTAGTAAGCGAAAATCCCGGGGATGTCTGACCGTTGTAGCAGACAGTTAATCAATCCAAGCTTGTCTTTTTTTTCTGTTTTGGGGAAAAAAAATGGGAGGCCAAGCCTAATCAGCAGAGGAAACAGATCGCAGGGGGGTGTCAGGCACCAGGAAAATGGATCTGGGTTGTGAAAAACCACCATTACCACGAGCTGCTCTGGATTCAGCCATCTGGAGATGCCTGCTCCAAAAGCCGGTAAAGTTCGCTAAACTGGGGCCCAACTAGGAAACAGGTTTGCACATCCTTAACAGACAGCCAACACTCCCAGAGTGGAGCCATGTTTGCTCTGCACAGTTAAGGGGCTCACTCGTGTCAACGCACATATTTTCAGTGTTGCACTGGGAATTAAACACCTTAAGATTTCCTTTTTAAATAAACCTTTTCAGTTTCTTTTGATGAAATTTGCTCAATTTTAGAAAATCATCGGTGAAATCCTCCCCTACAACACATATAACATCTCTCAAATTCCTACCTGTCTGTCTTTAGGAATGACGGCCGTTGTTTTTAATCTGTTTTTTAACATTTCCAATTACTGAAGCCTTTTCCAGCTGACCATTAACCTGCACCTCACCTGCCCACTCATGCAAAAAATAAGGTATACTAAGCTTTTAAGCAATGCCACTCAAATATGTACAGCACCCAAAAAAAGATAAAGTTCAACAACAAATCAAATTAAAAAGTAGGAGCATGAGAAAACAGTGATTATTCAGGATTTATATTATTTCTCTTAGCTGTTTTGTTGACACTGTTTTTATCTTGTCTGCCCATTTCCCTAAAACAGTGTCCGCTCTTTTAGTTTTACTAATTTCATGCTCTTTGGTTTAGTTTTCTCCAGACTGCACGCATGTTTATGCATATTTTTTGCATTTTGCTTGGCTCTGTGGTGTAGTGGTTAACACGTGCACCCCACATCTAAAAAGTCCCCAGTTTGACTCTTAGGGGTGATACAAACTTAACCTCAGGAGTTAGTGTGCGCCCAGTGCCAGTCTCTGGCTACACTTTGATATATAAGGTAAGCTGAAAGTATTGTCATTTGTGTGTATTTCTGCCACTGTGGCGAGTTGTAGTCACATTTTCATAGACACCAGTAAATAATGGGCACCTGTATGGTGAAGTTAAGAGTGCAACCTCATGTCTATGGATTGCATTAGACCGCCCTCTAGTGGAGAATTGTGATGTTTGCTTTTTTTGTCTAACTGGATAAAATGCTGGGAGAAAGAAATATCAAGGTGTGCAAAATAGTAAAATGATAAACTCAATCAACCCACAAATTTATGACTTACTTATTTCACAAGATGACAAGATAAACAATACAGACGATATATTATATACTTTTTAAATGTCATATTTTATAGGACATAATCAGTTAGCAATAACAACGGAAGTCTGTTATCAGAGTTTCATTCAGACTCACCCAGATGAGCTTGCAGAAGTTGCAGGAGCAGCAGAGTCAGCATAGGCAGCCATGCCTGTGTAGCCAGGGATGGTGGTTCGGCTGGCACAAGGAAAAGATGTTACAGACACTGTAACTTGTAGATGAGACACAGTGAGACAAAAAAACACAATTTTTTACACCTGACATGTAAAAAATTGTGAAAAATACTTTGTGCTTAACAAACAGTTCTAGAAAAACCACAATGAATGTAAGTGTGTGTGTGTGTGTGTGTGTGTGTGTGTGTGTGTGTGTGTGTGTGTGTGTGTGTGTGTGTACTGGGTGCAGTTTTCTGAGAGGGATAGAAGGCATTCAACCCATCAGGTCTGCATATTTTTGCTTCTGGTTCATTTTTGTTTTATCCTGAATGAGGACGACCATCACCTGCCACCTCGCCATACTGATCTTTAGTGCTTAAAGTTGAGATTTCAACAACAAAATCAGAAAACAGACTGACAGCATGACAGTATCTCGGTCCTGTTTCCAAGCTACCTTGATCCTTGCATCACTTTTCAGCACTCTACAAAGCCCCAACAGGCTTTTTCAGCCTGGAAACAATACAGGAAGCTAAAAAAAGAGCAAAATAAAAGCATTCAGAGCAGCAGATAAAAAAAATAAAACCGTACACACTTCTAAATGTCAGCACCATGGACATGACTGATCATTTAGATTAGAATTCCCTACAAGGTGAAATCTGGTGAGATCTGGAATGTCTTATTTCCACTTGTTGAACTGCAGCCTGCAAAAAATCTGACGCTCCCTGCTTGTTGGCTTTCCAACTGATGGTGCAGCAACGATTCCACAGAGGAGCCACACTTAGACTTGGAAAAAAAAATCAATCTTGAATAACAAGTTAGGACTTGCTCTCCTCCCTGTCTGTGCGGACATTTTAACAGATGATGGCTAAAGGCGGGCAGAGTGCAGCAGATGACTCGCTCACAGGAAAGCAGAGAACAAAGCAAACACCTGTCAACAAGGTGGATGTTTTTTTCAGCCTGGCCAATAGGAATACACTTGTGCAAATTGACTAACTATGTTTGAAATAAACCAATTAAAATGCTCTAGTGGTTATTTGTTGAAGCTTCAGACTTGTTTAGATGAAGTTCATAATTATTCTAAAAGTGTCATACTGGTCCATCGATAAATAAGAAACACACTAACAGGCTTCACAGTCTAAGTCCACTTTGTTTTAAGAATAATTTCCATTAAAAAAAAACTCTGCTTTTTTCCACATGCCGCGCTTTTTATGTATACAATGACAGTGAGTCTCACCGTGCTGTCGGCATGCATGGAGGAACGACGCTCCTCTTTACTGTCAGTGGGTGGAAGTCTTCATCTATGTTGTCAATGTTATCCATGTTCTCAGAGCCGACGGTGCCACTGCACATACACGAGAGCCCACTCAGTAATGAACGCGAAGGTCAGTGCTCAGAGAAAATATGCAGAGTAGCTGGATTCAAACAAAATACTGCGCTGCTAAGAAAATAGCAGAATCAAAACATGATCACCGAAAACATTTTCTGTTTTAAGTTGCTCAGTGTTTCATGGTAGCAGCAGGTTAAAGACATCATGCAGCAGAATAAATGTGGCAGGTATTAAAGAGCTAAAGGTCCCCAAGATTTTGTACAGTACTCTGTGTGGTGGCAGCTCAAACATAAAATACTCACGTGTACAGAGGGATCTGACCTGATCTTGGATATGTACTGCAGCTGAACAAACCAAAAAAACAGGAAGGTGTGTGACAAATTTGCATCATAAAAGGGACTAAAAGAGAAAATGAGCTCCCACTGATGAACGAAATCTTACAAAGATATTGGTTTTTTGGCATCATTCCTCAGTCGAAGCTGTCGCCTGTTCCACTCAGCTCCTACAGACTTAGAAAGAACGGAAACAATCGCTGCTTCATCACAATTTACCGATCTACAGATCACCTTTATTTTAACACTATAGGTACAACACATGTGCAGCAGTGTTTATGTTTTAACCCCTAAACTAAAGCATCAAACACTAAAATCTTTACCGCACTCATGTGAAGCAAGGATAGGCCTGCGAGTATTTTTCTTATTCTAACTGATCCCACAAAAAGACTAACGATGGGGTTTTCAGCTACTGTGAAACAGCAGTCCAATGTGAGACTGGCTCAAAAATAAACTGGAGTGCATGTGTTCACTGTAATGAAGGAACATGTTACCCCAGTGCTACAGTGTGGCTCACCAGGGTGTGTTCAGTCATGTTTGCTGGCGGGGTGCTACACAAACTGGATCAATGCGGTGGGGAAAATGCACACACACACATATATATACACAGTCAAAACACTGCAGAGAAAGTGAGACACAGCGAGGGAGTTTTTCTGTTCCTTTGGATGTCATGTTTAATAGGATGTAAAAAAACCTGAAATGTCAGAAATTTGGGGCATGCTATAAAATTAATTTGTTAGTTCAAGTAGCTGCTGGATGTAGCAGCATCCATGGCATCAATGCCAGACAGGAGAACCAGATTTATTTTGGCCTTTTCACGTAAAGGAGAGAACTCCAGAAATAAAGAAATATTAAGCTGCATATCTGCTTCTTTCAGTCTCCCTGCTGCACACACTGTATGCCAAAAGGTCAAGACTGACAGGTAATGAACTGCAATCACATTTATCACTTTTATTAAAACCAAATACAAAATATTAGCACACCTATGCATGGGTTATTATGAAAATTGCCTTTGAGAAACAATAACCATCCAAAAATCCAATTTCCCTCAGTTGTGTGAATGATCTAAACCCCCAGAAGCCCTCTGCTGGGGCCAAGAAAACAGAGCTCATGCCTCGGCAGTGTTTGCCAACATGCAAACACTCTCCATGGCTCACCTGCCACAGCTGAGGTCGGCTGTTGTAGCGCCTCAGTGAGGCACGCTCACTCACTGGGTCTGCCAGTTTCTCCAGGGTTGCTTCTGGTGCCTTCAAGTGCCGCGGTACCTTTGCAATCCATCCAGCGTCCTCATAACTCCTGCAGAGAAATTAGGACTTCTGGCCATTAGACACGTGGACCGAGTGCCTTGAGTGCAATTGATTAACTTGATTCCCGAAAGTTATTTGCTTTCATTTGAATTCTTAACCAGCCTCCTTCGTTGCAGAAAATATATTAGACAGCTTATTAACTGGGGAGCCGATTCTTCCCCGAGGCTTTAAGCAAGGCTACAGTTCATCTGCATGATTTCATTAAAGAGTAATTAACACAACAAGAGGACGCATTGTTCCCTGATGACATCAACGGAGCACAAAATCAAACCTATTCCCTCCCGATAACCCTCAAAGCAACCACATCGTGTGTGGACTTCGCATATCAGTAATCAGGAGGTAAGCTTTGTTCAATGTTATTGTTATTGAAAGGAGCCAATTAAAGGTGCCTGTGTTCTGACCTCTGTGTTGCAGAAGTGTATCTGAAGTGTCGAACTGCCGGTGAGATATCTGGCCCGACTCCTGGATCCTTAAAAAGCAATATCAGAAGACTTATCAGTGTCGTGTTCAACTGGAAATCATGAGGCTCACGTATGTATTTTTAACACATCTAATGATGAGTGTAGGTTTTATTTTTTTACCTGTTATTATTAATATAATTATACTCAACAGTATTGAAAACCATTATTTTAAAAAACGCTATTAACAACCATAATTTCTCACTTAAATTCTCACCTGGCATTAGCCCATTAATTAGCGATGGCACCAGCCAAATGATCTTTCAAATTACCCCTGATAAATGCAGAAAATCTGACACAATCTGTGAAAATTCATCTGAGCTCAGATTCATCAAGTAAACATAAATGGATAATGAGGCTCATCCTACGGGGGTCAATGACGTCTGAATCAAAATTTATGGAAATCCATCCAGTAGTGCTCGAGATCTTTCAGTCGTGACCAACAAACAGGCTGTAATTACCACCCCTAAAGCTGAGTGTGCCTAAAAGCACAAAATATCAGGATGTTCTCTTAATGACTAATGCAAAACAAAGACACACAAATTCCTATATTCACTCCAAAGTGCATCCGAGCGAGTCAATCGCAGTATTTGACGTTTTTACACATCAGCGGGCAGCATTCAGATTCTATTGGTTTTGCAGCTTTGTGCATAAAAGAACAAGGCGTGTTGACACAATGCTGAAAACACAGCAAAACCAGAGGAATAGCAAATGCAAAGCAAAAGTAAACTGGCTTTTCCTCCTTTAGTTAAAGAGGGAGATGAAATAAGAGTATAACGTAGACTCCACCAAAAAAACATTCTAGCTACCACCTAATTCAGAGCCAACTAATTTCGGTCACATTTGTAGAAATAGGACAACATCCTTCTTTCTACAAAGAATGGTGGCTGCCTGGTGACCACATTAAATTGTTTTACATGCAACTTGCGGTGACCAAATGATTGCTCAGAGCTTGAGGCCGTTGCACACTCATGACAACTTTTGATTGCAAGGCGATTGCGAAGATCACCAGACAGAAGGCAACCTCTGTTATCAGTCTGCACGAGCACAACTCCAGGGGACTCGACTCAACTGGCTGCCGGCTGGTTGTATTCTGGTTATCTTCCTCTTGAACAGGAAGGTTGCAAATATAACAGTTAAATATAAATTTCTGTTCATTGTGTATTTATTTCTATGCAGACACTATAAGCTATGTTATGTCAAAAGTTTATTACACTTAATTTCTGTGTTATCAGAAACAGACTGCATGTAACTGCCAATGTCACCCCACTCTATCACAGACTGATAACGGACTGGCTCATCTTATGTCAACATTTATGGAAAGTGTGATATGGCAGAAGTGAGATAAGTTTATCTTATTGGATAAAACAGATGCTGACAAAGTTTAACTCTGAGGACCTAACTTGCAACACCTGTTGTACTACTCAGCATATAGCAAAATGTAAAAAATTAATAAAAATGCAATAACATCGTATAATGAGGGAAGTCTTTTGATAATATTGTATCTTGAACTTTCTCGTGAGTCCCAGCTTCCAGTATAAAGGACTGTTTGAACTAATTATAGCATATATATATATATATTATATATATATAATATATATATATATATATATTATATATATATATATATATATATATATTATAATATATATATATATATATATATATATATATTGGTTACAGACAAATGGTGGTGGCTAACCAACCGGACATAGTGGTGGTAGACAAACAGAAGAAGACGGCCGTAGTGATCGATGTAGCGGTTCCGAATGACAGCAATATCAGGAAGAAGGAACACGAGAAGCTGGAGAAATACCAAGGGCTCAGAGAAGAGCTCGAGAGGATGTGGAGGGTGAAGGTAACGGTGGTCCCCGTGGTAATCGGAGCACTAGGTGCGGTGACTCCCAAGCTAGGCGAGTGGCTCCAGCAGATCCCGGGAATAACATCGGAGATCTCTGTCCAGAAGAGCGCAGTCCTGGGAACAGCTAAGATACTGCGCAGGACCCTCAAGCTCCCAGGCCTCTGGTAGAGGACCCGAGCTTGAAGGATAAACCGCCCGCAGGGGCGTGCTGGGTGTTTTTTTTTTTTTTTATATATATATCATTTTAGCTAGTAGAAGTATGTGGAGGATGTTACATTACTATATTTGCAAAAGGAAAAAAACTAGCACAATGCAGTACAGGAGAGGAAAGAAGACTAAAAGGCTTATCGTGGTGGATTCAGCTCTGGCTGACTGCTGATCAGCTGGTTGGGATGTCTGCAGTGTTGCAAAAGCCTGTGTTCCCAATAGAGAAGTTGCAGCGTGCCCTCTTGTGGACATCAGGGTGTTTCTATCATCGTCTGCTGTAAACTGACTTAGATCACCAAATAACTAATAAGCCAATATCAGTTGTTTGCCGATCTAAGCAGATAACATCAGCTGTATGGAATCTGCTGTCTGATATAATTATTTTTTTACTCATCCTGCAGTATTTTCTGCGCTGTTCCAATTATTTTGTTGTAGATATCAGGGATCGTATTGAAAACTAATATGTGAATATGTGTGACCTTGAGCGTTGCTGCTAGCAGATACATAAAAGAGAAGATGACTCAATAAAACATTGATAAAACACTATCATCATGAATCTGTCACCCTGGAGCTTTTTATATTCTGGCCATCAATCACTGCACTGCCAGAAAAGAGTTGAGAAGGTCCATTGATTTCACTGCGCATGTGTTAACTTCCATACTAAAAATGTATTATCACCACTGTAATCCTGAACTTCACACTACTTAAATACAGGCTTTAATCAAGTCTCTATTCACTGAACAAAATACCTATCTGCAATAACTGAGCACTGCGAGACCTCTCTTAAACAACTATAATGTGTGTCAAGGTAATTATGGACGTTTCAATTAGCAGTTTCAGAAACAAAATAATAAAGCAAGGTTATGTCCTCAAAGTGAAAACCTGCCCATATAATAAGCAGTATTATGTGAGGTGTGATGAGACTGTAAGTGAGGTACGCATTTCTGATTTAATACTTAATATGTGCTTGTGTTATGATAGGAAAGTGATTAATGCAGCAGTTGTGATGAAGTGTAATGATAGTAAGCAAGCCAACAGCATTAGTTCAACCAAAATGTTTCCAGCGTCTGCACTGTAGTAAGATTTAGTATATAAATCAACAAAACTTTAATGTGCTCAGAGGAAAAACTGAAGAGAGAAAACTGATGAATTGTTAATGTGTGAAGTCTTTCATTTCTCATTTGGGCAAAAACAAGCAAATTGAAGATGTCACACAGTTGCACTTCAGTACAGAAACCAGTTCAGTCAGTCATCACTCACCTGATTTCCAGGATGTGTATCAGGCAGATTGTTACTGATCATCACTGTTGCTGGTGTCCTCGGTGACTGAGGTTGAATTTTAACAAGATCACTTGAACCTTAGGATGACACAACAACAATACATTCTCTGACAAATTGTGAACTATAACTATGCACAGCAGTATCTGCCCTCAAGATCAATTTACCCTGCAAGAAGGCCCCGGAGCAACAAACAGCCATGGTCCCTGCTGACCAGCTCCCAGTCTGGATGTGTATGGATGTTGTGCCTCTAATTACCCATCAGGCACAGACCACACAACAGACTACAAATGCCAGCTTAAGCTTAATTATACAGTATTTAGCCTGGAGATGTACATACCAACTAGCTATTACCAATGCTCTTTAGTAGCTGCTCCAGGTATTTTATGCTTTGGGTTGTTGTAATAATTTAATTGCAGAATAACTTTTATATATGTTATAAAACCATATTATGACATGAAATGAGCTGAGCTGTTGTTTCAAAAGCTAGCTCTGGCAGTTAGCACTGCTAGCAGTTTTAAGTCCGTTAGTAAACAAAAGGCTTTCATTAATATTTGCATATTTACTGTAAAAATGTAATGGGAGCTTAAATGTCAAAGAGAGAGAGAGTGAATAAAACAAATTTAACTTACAGTGGAAAGTACTGCGCTAAGAAAATGATGAGCCAAGCAATATTTGTTTAGAGCTAGCCAATGCTAGCTAAAAAAAAAAGCAGCAATATTTAGCTTAAAGTAATGTAATGTTTAATATTTTATAAAACAAAAAGCTTACTAGCTAATAATTTTTAGGGTAACAATAGATACTTCTGCCTTTAGAGCTGCCTAAATTGTTCCGGCACAGATTGAGCAAGGTGCTGGGAACATTATTGATGGCCATGTTGACAGTTGCTGCAGATTTGTTAGCTGCACATCACTGATGTGAATCTCTCCAAAAGTGCTCTATTCGCCTGAGATCTGGTGACTATTGAGACCATTTGTCTACAGTAAACTCAATGTCATGTTCAAAGAACCAGTTCAAGATTATCTGAGCTGTGGGACAAGGCACATTATCCTGCTAGAGCAGCCATCATAAGACGAGTCGTATTAGTTGTAAAGAGATGAGCATGATCAGCAACAATCCTCATGTAAGGGGCACTAAGTCTGCCAAGAAACACCAGCAGCCTGAGCTGTTGATACAAAATGTAGGGATCCATGCTTTCATGGCATTTACCCCGAGTTCTTATTCACTAAGTGTCCAAGTCTGACAACAGTTAGATCAACTTTGACGTTAAATTTCACCAAAGGCAGCAAACACAGCAGCTCTTATCGACAGAAAAGGTCAAGATATCCTCAACAATTCACCTCAGTATCACTATCACTGTACAGAAGCTTCACTCACTCATCAGTTGGCATTGGACCCATTCAGAGAGTGTTAAAGCCTCCTCCAGAGTAAATAAAATTAGACACTTCTCTGACAGCTGAGGAAAACAGTGGACTAACAGCAAACACTCACAACAAATGAACAGTAGTTAACTCAGGGGTAAAAACGTAAAACTGAATATTTTATTCATGCATAGCCCTTTTTTAAATGAGTAATTTATTGCTAAGTGTTTATATTGTTTTAATGTGCCATAATATAGTGTGTCCAAAAATATCTTTTACACAAACAGTCACGCACACCAGCTGGCTATGGTTGTAACAGGATGCAGTATAATGTTGTTGATTACTCTTGGCTGACTAAACTGTGAAAGGTATAATTAAAAAAAGACATAGTTTAAAGAAATAAAACTTATTTGTTCTGCAGTGGCCACCATAGTTTGGATTATGCGCTTGAATTGGGAGGAGAAAGAAAACAAAATTCCGTTGACTGCAATCTACTGCCATCTAGTGGTAAGATTTTACACACTGTAACTTAAACAACGAATTTTTGTTAAGAATACTCCAATATATTTATTTTTTTCAGTTTCGCTGTAAAACTTGCAATTTTCTTTCTGAAATACTCATACCAGCCTGTCAGACATCAATAAGTCACCTTTCTCTCCTATGCTCAGTTTCAATTTAAAGCTACACAAATGCGCTTCTATGTTTTTTAGATGTAATTACACAATAATCAATGTGTTGACTGGCTGATTAGAGACTTACATTAATGAGCCGTTGAACAGGTATCTAACATTTTTCGAGTAAAATTGGCTTCCACGCTGAACTTCACGCTGTGCCTGCATGAAGACCACTAATATGAAGTGACCAGAAGGGGGCACTGCAGCACCCAACAGCAGGTAGCTACAGCGAATAATTTGAATCATTGTGGGTGCTTTATGTTTTGTTTGTTTGCTTACTGTTTCTGTAGAGCCTAATATTTTATACATTTATTCATTATTTAACTTATTTTTAGAATTGTTTTTATGAGAATAAAATATCTAGTGTTTCGATCTGTCACCCTGCCGCAGCCATCATCCATAATCATTACAACGAAAACAAGAAGATTGATGAAACAACCTTGAAACTCGACCAGAGAGCGTGGTGATACTGCAGCTTTTCAGCCAAGGGATAATTTACTCTTTAAACAGTTTTTTAATTTGTATTCACAATGCAACAGCTCAGCAGATTTTCCTTTGGGGGGGCAAGCGATATATTAAACTGACACATAATTTTTTCAATTGTTGGTTATTCATTTGGTGCATCGTGAAAAAACAACTGAGATAATATCTATATATAATATAGTCAAACGTTATGTAATTCCAAACATCGAAGCACAAATTTAAAGGAGCATTTACTCCCATATGAGATAAAGAAAAGCAAAAGGTCTTCATATTTGACAAAATTTCAGCTTGTTTTTTTCCCTCTAGGGGTAGTTGCCCTGTTAGCAATCAAGCCTTTATCACTCAACAATAGATTAACTATCCAATTTCAAGGCTCTGACTTGCACAGTATTTAAAATATGCTTCTGTTTGTTTGTTTTTTACCACTCAGTCTTGCTCTCAGAGCCGCATGGGGGATCCTCCTGGAGTTCCAGGCCTCGTCCTCGCTCAGGTCTACACATACCGCTGAGAAATTTGGGGTTGTTTGAGGCCTCTCTCTGAAACCGGGAGGGACCCACAGAGCAGAGGGGACATGATCAAAATCTATGAATTTCTTTCGACCTTTGAGGCCCAGGACTACCTCAGCTCCAGCACTCAGCTGACCACAGCAGGGGTCCAACAGGGGGACATCATCTCGCAAAGGAGCCAGGGTGACACGCTCAGCGGGGGGCTGAAGTCTAAGGGAGCCTACGTGTCCAGTTTTCGGTCTATCTCTCCTACCATCTCGGTGCAAACTGGAGTTCAGCCGCCTGATGACGTGAAGCTCTGAGGAAAAAGGCTCGAAGGGATCCAAAACTGCAGTCATTACTGCCTGGGAGGAAATTCCTTGAAGGCTCCTGTGAGTTTGTGCAGTGAGCGCTCGTTGCCCAGAGACTGGGTTCGTTTCCTGCTCGGATCAAATTACTGACATGTAGACCTGTGTGCTGAGCGTGGAGGTGCAGCTCCACATACCTGAGCACATTATTCTGTATTTGTAATAATATAATAAAGCAAAGGTCTAAAAACATCCCATCGTATCCATTCTGGATGCCACACCACGCTGATTCACTTCAGGGGAGCTTTCATAACTAATAATGTTCCCTCTGAGCTTCTATATTTTGGCAAGCTACACCTACTAATTTATCACTCTGACCACATAAAAACATTTGGTCAGCCATGCCCTGGAAAAATACTCTACACAAATGTTGTTTTAGTGGAAAATGATAAAGGGAAGACTTGGCCCAGCCTCAGGGTTAGTGAACTGTGTGTCTCCTCCTCGGAGAACGCCACATTACTTCCCGTGATTGGTAAGGAGCCGTTTAAACCCCCTCCTTTTGAAAAGTTGCCCGCTTTTCCCTCAAGAAACCACAAGATGGAGCAGTAGGGCCTAGACGTAAGATGAAGCAGAGCAACCCAGTCCCTTTTGAATTCAATGACAGTCCACAAATATCACAGCAAAAAATAAAAGTCTCAGCTGTACTGTCATGATGATGCACTATGAATTCAGAACTACCAAGGTGACCACAAGTCCAACACCGACTTTGACCGAAGTCCCTGAAGACATATTATTAAATTAAATTATTTATTTATTTATTTTTGCTCATGAAGGCTAAACAAGTTGTTTTCCAAGCCTGAAGTGCTTTTAGCACAGAGAGACTTCAAATGTAGGCTCTGTTTTGTTTTTATTTTTAATTTTTTTTTTAAAGCCGGCAGTAAACTAAATGAAAATTATGTAAATCACACAGCCAAAGCAAAAAGTGTTTTTTACAAAGGCTGTAATCTGGTGAATGTGCAGGCTTTGAAAGAGCTGTCTCATATTCACTGAAGCCAAAAAGCACAGGAATACTATGTGCCTCGCTGCCTATTAATTAGCCTCCTCGAGTTGTCTGAAATTTAACGTACAAATGTAAATAAATGCCCCACAAATTTACAGGCACGATGGGGCGTGCGTGCTTTATAATGAATACTGAAGGCACCCTGGCTAAGTGGCATTTTTTTTCTTGGGAAAGAACTGATGCTAATGTGTCAGTGGTGGTGATGATGGTGATGCTTGCTGATAGATGATTTTTACTCGGGCTGTCATTAGGAAATGTAAACACCCAAGAGCTGTTGAAAAGGATGTGTTAAAAATAGCCTAATTAGAGTTATTCTGATAACCGACTGGTGAATATGCCCAACTCCCACACAGTGCTCCTCCACAAAAGGAGAGCAGGAATGACACTTGTGAAATCTTCTATGGCTTTTTTTTTTTTTGAAATTACTTTTTTTCTGGTATATCACACCATTGTCACAACAGTCTTGTGGCTTAAAGTGTGCAGATTTTCAAGTATTTTGTAGGAATTCGGTTATATGTGGGTCTAGAGGTCCACATGACTTACTGGAGTTGGATTCCATTAATCCTTCCCTTATGAGAGGTTATAACTGCATCACACTGTATTCCTTCCAATGCTTTTGTCTACCAATTATTTCAGAGGTTTTTTTTTTGTTGCTGCAGGATTTTAAATACCAGACTAGGCTTGAGATGACTGTGTTATTTTTTTTCCTTTTTTGCAGGGAATCAGATATTTCTGGAGCAAGCAGTCATTACCATTGGAGCAGCCCTTGTTACTGAATCCTGTGTTATTAGTCAGCTTGTCTGCTATTCTCTAGACTCCTCCACAGTCTCAGAAATAATTTAAATCTCACATCTCGCCTGTGGTGCCAGGTCCAATGCTATAGTGCGGCAGCCACTAATTTGCACGGTCTGCATTCATCTGAGAAATAACTGTTGCTCTGGATTAAGAGCCGCTGTTGTCTCCGATGATGCTGTCGCTGCAGAGGGTCATCAAAGCAAACTCCCAAATGTAGCGCCGGCTTTCTGAAGACAATATAGGCCGATGCTGCTCCGGGGCAGCAGAGCCAGTATTTTTGTTAATTAGAGGGTTGAGGGTGAGTCGGTATGACACCTCAGAATCGTACAGGCAGGGCTAGGAGGTGAGGCGGCCACCTGGCACGTGGGGAGCGTATCATCACGGGGCGGAGAGGATGCTTTAGAATGGGGATAGACAGCATCGTTTATCACTGGAAGAAGGAGCTGCAAGAAAATTAAACAGATAAACGCAAAGAGATGAAAGACAGATATTAATGTCTGCATGTGTTCGTATCAGTCCCGCATAAAGGTTTGATATATTAGGCAGCAATACCTTTGGGGCCACAGCTCATAAAAGCAATTCCTCTATCCAGCCATCTCTGTATGCATGATATGCAATAGAGTTCATACAACAGAGCCCCATCGACGTTTGTTGCATAAAGCATCCGCGGCTGGGATTTTGTCCGTATGTCTTGTAAACTGCTGAAAATGCATGACCATATTTATAGCACAAGGGCCCTAAGTCATAACTCGTAGGTCAAATTCATCACACTGTAAAGGCACTGAATTGATTACTGCCCGTTGACCATGAATGCATTAGATTAGAGGGCAAATTGGCTGCAGTGTAGTCTGTGTCATGCTGTGTGTGGCACCCTCAACCATTTGGAAAAATCCAAACAGAGCGCATAGATGTAGCTCCCACGAGCAGCAGGGGTAGCCATGTCCTCAGAGAGTGGCCGAAGGCTTTATTGTAGCGCGGCTTCCCGGCCCTCGGTTGCTGCAGCTCTCCGCTTGTCACACTCAGTTAGCTCAATGAAGTAATGAATATGCCGCTGTACATTTTTCATGAGGGAGGTGGGAGTGAAAAATCTGCTCCTTATAATGCTTTTAATATGGAAGTTTTCACACACCCTCTTCCCCCCGCAAAGCCCTCTCCGAGCTATCATGGAGACGCATGAGCATGATGGTTTAATGTTAACATTCCCCAGGAGAGAGTCAGCATAACGCAATGTCACTTTCAGTGATGAATATGGTGACTGCAGCAGACATACAAGCAGCTGTATATTATGACTAAGTTGGGATAACGGTGGCGTCTGCCCTCCTTTGAGAGAAGGCTTTAGCTGCATGGGGGGAAAAAACTGGTGGCCAATTCTGTCACTTGAATGGGTGACTCAGGCACATCATTACAGTAATGAATTAGTTTATCAGGAAGCGCAACCATAAGCTTCCAAAAATGGAGGTCTATTAAGTATTCAAAGATAAACGCAAACAAACACAAGGAATAATCAACAAGTAAATAATTAGGCAAATGATTCCGGCTTGGCATGTTTGCAATTATTTTAAATGAACTATTTAAAATTATTTAACGTACAAGAAAACAAATACCCACGCAGTAGATCTAAATAGTCAAACATTATGCTAACAAAGATGGCGGTACTGATACATCACTGCTACTGATACAAACTAAATAAATTATATTAGGACTACAGATCTTTCCTTTTTTCACATTTCTGTCTGGAGAGGCGTTAGACACGAGGATGCAAATGCTGACACCAAAGCAGACAGAAATAACAAAGTCAAACCTTTAATTTGGCTGATACATGAAGTCCAAATGAACAAAGTCCAAATAGCAAATGAAAAAGGGAACAAAAGCTGAGATCCAAAATACACAAGGGGAGCAGAGAGCCATACGGGGAAAACAAAAGAGCAAACAGGGAAGGACAACTGATGTCTTGGCAAAGGACAAAGGAAAGGCAGCGCTGTATATATGCTGAGGGCTGACTGAGGGACAAACAGGCCATGTGCTACTGTTACAATGTGGATGTTTAGATTACAATGTGGCTTCAAACAGTGGCTTCAAAAAGCTCAGGGTTCAGATAGTTTGTTTCTGAGTGATGCTTCACCCACCTGCCTTTTTGAGGGGCAACGAATCATATGGCTTACACGGAGGGGGAGGAGTTAAAATGGCATCTTTCAGACAGTGGATGGACTTGGGAGCTGCACAAAGGCCCACTTTGCAATAAATAAGGATTATAATGAATCGTGTAAATCATACAAATCTGTGACAGATTTTAATCAATTGAAATTGTTTTTAAACTGCATATTCACATATTTGTGTTTAGGAATAAACATACAAATTGGTGGAATGTTTCAGTACATTTATACAGTATTGTGCAAAAGTCTTGAGCCACCCCTCATTTCTTTATATTTTGTTAGGAAAATGGGAAACGTGAAAACAGACATAGAAATTGAGTATAGAAGGCAAACACAAAGTTTTAATTTAATTAGCTTGAAAGTCAATATCGAGGATGACCACCTTTATTCCTCAATGCAGCCTGAACTCTCTTAGGCAAGCTTTCTTGTCATGTCTTTAAATAATCTTAAGGAGTAGCTATCCAAGCTCCTTGCCTTACCTTTTAAAAAAAATCAGCACAGCATGTTACTTAATTACGTAATTAGTTACACAACGCGTTACATTATTTTCTTGTTACTCTATGAAATTACTTCAAAGGTACTGTCACAAATAGTTAACAATATAAATCTGAGGCTACAGTGCACACTAACACACATCTCTATACACATGGTAATTCTTTTAGTTTTTAGGTATGGGGACAAAGCAAAGATAAAAACCAGTCCAAAGACACTTTAAAGCAATCGCCAC